GAGCGTTTCCTGAAAGATTCCTTGACTCAGCGTGAGATTTGATCGAGACATAGGGATTTTAATTTTTGCTAGTAACAGGCGAAAAACCGTTTTTTCAGAAAAATGCCTCTGGCGAAGTTATATTCATTTGTACACAAAAATAAATGTTGCCACTATGCTCAGCGTAGTCGATTACCTATGTTCCATGGCATTTCGAGATTCTCACAGATGTCTGCTCGAAGATAGCAACGTGCTCAACGAAAGCGAGCTCTATCTGAACGAAGATAGCTGGAGAGCCGGGACTTGCATAATTTTGTAGAGTAACGTCCGAATCATCTACGCATGCAGATACAGATTTTTGAATAAAACAGGAGAGTTTTGAAAACGAGAGAACCACAAAGCCATTGACCCAAATTTTTCAGTACAAATGATCAATTCTGTCGATTATGCGCGAATTATCATCCTAATTTGACATTAGCCTAGGCAAAGATCCCATTGGCCTGATTAATTCTAAATTGCACTTTAGACCAGTCCAATCTTAGATTCGCTCGGTGTACTTTTTATTACATTTTACTTTAGATTAGGTCTGGTCTTAAGCAACTCTAGGCGAAAATAAAACTATACTTTGGACTAGTTTAAAGTGGAATTTGACTTTAGCCTAGGTCAATATTACAGTGGACTGAATTTCAATTTGGACCTAACATATAGACTACATATCATACCATACGCATAAGAAGAACAAGAAGAAAAATATTTTATTATTTTTACTCTTAGAAAAATAATAAAATAAAAAAATATTTTTCTTCTGCGTGTATAAAAGAAAATTAACAATAAAACTGTAAGAGCTGCCTTTACACTAGCTCAAGCGGATGATCCAGTGGGGGTTTAATTGAGCGATCAGCGCCCAATTCAAACACATCAGCTAGCTTCAACTCATTCAAGCTAGCTTTGACGAATTAAAAATTGGGTCAAGTAGCTGCAAGTGCCCACTTCACGATTTTCTTAGTGGTTGGGGATATACACAGGTTGTTGAGTAAAAAGGGACACACTTAATAATATGTCCGTCAACAGCGATGACACAAGTTTAAAGCTCTGAGAACGATTTTGTTTTTATATGTGTAGGTTTGATTGATTAACATATTCCATTTAAACGAAATTGACGTAATTATATCAAAAAGCAATAGATTGAAAGACGGCACAACAAGATAAAAGTGGCACATGCAGAATCATTATTGGATTAATGGAAATGATTCACTCTCACTCTGTTAAGATAAATTAGAGTAAAAATAAACGGTTCACTGCCTAAGAAACAGTTCCTCCTCAACAATAACAGGGCTGTTCTATCGATGGCTAGATGACTCAGTAAACTCACTGTAACGGCTGAAGAAAAAATATGAAAAGACCACTTTGCTTTCTCTCTATTTCTCTTGCTTGAGGTGATTTGACCAATCATTATGACTCGGTGTTTAATAGGGCTTCCAACGTATTTTTGGTACCTTATCTACTTTGTTGAAGACTAAAACGTGACTATATGTCTTGGCTGTAGCTGAACGGTAGGAGGACAAAACTAATATTCTAATTAATTTTTTTATACACTATCTAAGAACTATATTATTATCTTTTGTCTGTCAGTCTACTGCTCAACCTCTTGAAAATTTGTCTATCGTTACTTTATCTTATCTGGCATCATAAGCATCATAAAATAATCGTTACCGTTTAATTATAAAACTCTATTTTAATCGTATATAAAGTGCTGGAAAAATTACGCATACAACATACTTTTAACCGTCACTGTAAAATGTCGAATACAAGTAGAGTTGATAGAAGTTTTTTTCTTTGATTCAACAATTAAAGTGTATAGTAGAATATTCAGAAGACTTATATATTGCGATGTTATTCATATTAGCCATAAGATGAAGGAAATATCAAATAAAAAATTGTAGATTCATAATACAGTACTGGAAAAAGTTATAGAATCCTGTATTTTTGAAAATTTTTGATAAAGCCGAGTGACTATGTCAAATCTGAATAGTGATTTGGATAGTCCTTGAAGTTCCCCATCAAATGCAGTATGCATCAAAAGTTCAGAGAAAAGGTTTTTGAAGAAAGTTTTCTAGAAAATCCTCTCCAACGGAGCTCTAAGTTCTAGAAAATTTTGCTAAAAATATTGTCAATATAGCCATCTAAAAGAGCATAAAATTCTGAATAAAACGAAGCGTCGCACAGCTCTCCACGATCTTTCATTGTAAAGTTATAGGTATAAGAAAACCCAGAGAAATGTACTTCTGCTTGTTTTTTAGGCGATTTTTAGCGTTTTTTCGTAAATGTTTACTTGTTATTATGCAAATGTCTATTTCTTTGGATTTTCTGATGCCTGTAACTTTGCAATGAAAGATCGTGGAGAGCTGTACGACGCTTCGTTTTAGTCAAAATTTTATGCTCTTTTAGATGGCTATATTGACAATATTTTTAGCAAAATTTTCTAGAACTTAGAGCTCCGTTGGAGAGGGTTTTCTAGAAAACTTTCTTCAAAAACCTTTTCTCTGAAATTTTGATGCATACTGCATTTGATGGGGAACTTCAAGGGCTATCCAAATCACTATTCAGATTTGACATAGTCACTCGGCTTTATCAAAAATTTTCAAAAATACAGTGATTCTATAACTTTTTCCAGTACTGTATTATGAATCTACAATTTTTTATTTGATATTTCCTTCATCTTATGGCTAATATGAATAACATCGCAATATATAAATCTTCTGAATATTCTAATGGAATTTTAAATGCATACAGTGGTTCTTTAATTTTTTCCAGTACTGCATCCCACAATAAAACCTTAGCACTCATTCATATGAAATCGTACGATTCACAGACATTATTTAGAAAAAACATTTCTCCTCAGTCTGTTGCTCTTGTTTCGCCAGTGGAAAATTTGTTATCAAAACATATTACAGTATTGCGTGTTATTGTTTAAACTATTTATAGTAGTTCGTACGATAAATTACTACAATCACAGAGCTAAGAAGAAAAAAATGGATTAAAAATGGATCTGTTGACCGATCTAGGTCATTGCAACCCTTGTTCATATTCTTATTTACCTCATGAATACTTCCTCTAGCGCATACGCTTCAAATTTACTATCTTAGAGCAAGGAAATCTAGCTTATAAAATCACTCAAATACCCGCTTAAGAGTAGGTTTTTTGGTTAAATAGCTAGATGCGCCGAGCAAGTGTCCACTTGCTAACTTCAAGCGGATGATTCAGTGGGCGTTTAATTGAGCGATTAGCGTTCAATTCAAACGCATCAACTAATTTCAACTCACTTAAGCTAGATTTGATGAGTTAAAAATTAGATCAGGTAGCTGCAAGTGCCCACTTCAAGACTTTTTTAGTGTTTGGGAAGAAAAAAAGACCTAATTAACTGTTTAGCGCCAACATCGCTTAAAACGTATGAAAATCTATTGCTATTGATCTTTTGTTACTAATATGACAGAAACTGGAAGAGGAAAACATGTTCCACATGCTGAATCGTTATTAAATCCCGTATTTAATTCGAGAATAGAGCCACTTCAACCAGTTTATCCTGTTGATTCGTTAACAAATTCAAATGGTATAAACGGTGGTGTTTTTCTTTTTGAAACGGAACGTCCACTATTGCATTCAAAAAATTACGTATGCACTCTTTGTTCAATATGCATATTTGGTTGTTGGATTTGTAACATACCCTCGGTTATTGTCACCTGCTATGCTTATAATGAATCAAAAAGACATCAAATAACGCGTGCAAAAGTTCTATTCAATATCGGTTTTATGTTATCGTTTTTTGGTATGTTACTATTTTGTGTACAGACAGGTTATTTAGTGTGGCTATTTCGTTATATCATACATCGGTTTAAAATAAAAGAATCATAATAGTCATTTTTTAGGTTACTTAACTAATCTCACTCTCTTACTGTTGTTGAAAATGTACCGCTCTTATAAAAGCTATTCCTAGACGTTGCTTTACAAATAAACAAAAAAAACAGCTCACATTCAAAGTGAAGATGAGCCTCTAGTGTTTGATGGCTTCACACTAATCATTGAACTATCCATAAAAATTACCTTAAATTCAATGAATGTATGTTAGTTTAGCAGATAGCGATATTGACAAACAACAACAAGCAATCAAATCTATTTCCCAATTTATATAGCACCGACAAGGAGACAAATACTCTTATTCTATTTAAATTATGCTTCCATATAATATTTTAACATCAGTAGTTTGATTATGACATTTAGTGTGAGACAAATAACATAAGCGTCTGACACCCACATTGATAAGTATTTTAGCAAAAAAATGTCAACAATTAAATTTCAAAACGAAACGAACGCAAATATAGCGTTTTGATCTTGGGAACTTGAACAGTTGCGTAGTTTTGTTATGTATATATAGTCATGATTGAAAGCAATTTCATAACTCTACACTTCTTCCAACATTACATCAAGGTTCAGGTGAGAATTTGTAAGAAAAAAAGTTAATGTTAATCATGATCCATCCGCAAAATAGCTTAAATTTTACCGTTTACGTATTCAAATCTGATTTAGAATGCAACAAATCGTTTTCTTATTGGTTATTGCTGGTGTTTGCGTGACTGGTCTTCCAGCACCTAGTGGACAAATAACTCAAGCTCAAGCCCGTGACATTTTTGACACTTTAGGAAGTGCACTTACCAGTGTTTGGAGTGGTGTTATTCAAAAACCAATTGAAACCGCTCTTCAAAGTAGGATATTTGAATACCCAAAAATCTAAGAGTAATATAGAACCAGATTCATTTTAATCTACCTGAAATCACATTTCTCACTATTATGATTTCAATCATGACTCCTGTCACAAAATGAAACGCATTTCTTTTTCGTTCTTTTCTAGATGGAGCATTGATGTTAGCTCAATTACTTGCCGGCCTCGGAACAGATGGAATTAATTTATCATCAATCTTTGGTGGACGAAGTAGCATGGATGCACGTGACTTTTTTGACATTTTTGGAAGCGCAATTACCAGTGTTTGGACTGATGTTATTCAAAAACCAATTGAAACCGCTCTTCAAAGTAGGATATTTGAATATCTAAAAATCTAAGAGTAATATAGAACCAGGTTCATTTTAATCTACCTGAAATCACACTTCTCACTATCATGATTTCAATCATAACTCCTGTCACAAAATGAAACGCAATCCTTTTTCATTCTTTTCTAGATGGAGCATTGATGTTAGCTCAATTACTTGCCGGCGTCGGAACAAATGGAATTAATTTATCATCAATCTTTGGTGGACGAAGTGGTATAAATGAAGCAGAATTCCGTGGTTTTTGGGATAGCGTTCTTAGTGGAGTGACATCAATTTGGACAGATGTCATTCAAAAACCAGTCGAAGGAGCTTTACAAAGTATGTATTTCGTTAAAAAAATCGAAAATTATTTGTCTCATTTAATATCTGTTTATTTTTATTTTTCATAGCAAGTGCCTTATTATTAGCTCAACTGTTAGCTGGTATTGGCACAGAGGGTATTTCACTTGGTAAACGTGAACTTGTCCCTGAACTTCGTGGCCCAATTATCGATTCACTCACTGATCATGCAACCGGTTTATTCCAAAACACTCTTAAACCAATAATTGAATCTGCTTTATCAAGTATAATTTTATATTCTAAACTATTCTCTTATTTATTTTATCCTTTTTATTCTCTTTATAGATGTTGCAATAAATATGGCTCAAATATTAGCCAACTTTTCACAAACCGGAGTTATCGGTTAAATTACATCAGAAATGTTATTCAATTTTTCTTTTGTCGTTTTATCTTAGTGTATAATCGTCGGCTGGAAGAATATCTGTTGATCTGAGTTTTACTTTTTCTTGTATTTCAATATTTTATACAATAAAGTAAAGAGACAAGTCAAAAAATATACTAATTTTCACATACAACTTCTTCAAGCGGGGATCATTATGTAACAGTTTTTCTAAGGATCGTTCTCGAGTTCTTTTGTCGAACTGATTATATTTAAATTAACTTTTCAGTCTTTATTTCGGCTTTTATCTTTGTAATACGATTTACTATAATTTTTGATGTAATATTTGAGAGGGATTATTGGCATTTGAGTAGATTGAAAAAAGTCAAAATTTTAGCATCATTATTTATTCTTAGTCAACTGTAATTACAAAATCAAAAAGAGATAATAGATTCCTATTTCTAGAATATTCTGTTTTATCAATCTTCAAGAGCGTAAAATGTCGGATATCAATTCGAATAAATTTACTTCCGTTAAATATGAACAAATTCTTTAAATATTCATAACCACCTTATATTTGAGAAAAAGAAAGAAAGCTTTTGTATTTTCAACTATATAATATATGTATGTATGTTTTTTAACTAAAACATGATGGCGTTATGTACGTGTTTCGATTATTAAACACCCATAGGGCATTTCTGTTATAAAATAGACAATTTATAAGTCGCCCATGAGTGCGAGAGGACTTAGAAAACCTTTGTGCCAAAAGTCTTTTTTTTCATTATTGAAACATGAGTGTGTCACATATAATCAGTTTCTTACAGTTTATTGACTAATTTAACACCACTACATCAACAAAGTCAGTATATTAATATAAGGGAAAAAAATATGTTTGACGTAGAGAGACAAATTATTTTCCCATATGATAAGCAGTTTCGTGACATACGTAGGTTTAGAAACACCTTTTCTCTGTGAATAAGTGGTCATTCAAATTTTTTTCCTTAAGAATAAATAAAAAACCAAAATAAAAAAAATTCTTAAGATCTAGTATAATCAAATTTCCTATGAATATATACTATACTATACACATGCCATTTTTATATACGATCATTAAAGTCTTTCTCCATGCAAGTTTATTTTTAACAAATGTTCACTTGTAATAACTTGTTTCAGTTTCTTTCTTGAACGAAATTAAATTGAGCACCATCCATGTGTATTTTCTAAAAGTAAAAACGCGATCCCCCGTAACGCCTAGTTTATCATCATTTTTAAGTGCAACGGAATGCGGAAAAAAATACTTTTTTCGTATAAAAATTCGGTGAACCATGATTGAGTTTAAAACGGTGATAAACTAGACGTTACGGAGGAGTAAATTTTCTTTTTTGAAGATACTCATGGGATATACACTCATTTCGAACATATGTCACCGTTAGACAACCAATAATTTTTCTTGATTATACTGTAGGTCATGTGAGGATATTTTGCTGTAATGTAATGTATAAAATGTCTAACAGATTACAGTTTTATGAAAACTGAACAAGAATATACAGACAAGTAAAGAATAATAATTGTTCGCTCATAACAACTTTGTTCTATTAAAACAGATCTAATTTAGAAAAAAAAAAGAAAGGAAAAATTTTCTCACATTATCATTATGAAATTTAATTTTTTTATTGTGTCGGTAATCAATAAGTAAAAATTTTCAAAAAAGATGTCAACGGTGAAAAAATATTATTATTAATTATTAGACGAAATACTCTAATTTGTACACGAGTGTCATATACTAATCTTAGTTCACTCATAATTTACTCTCTATTGTATTGTTTTCGATTAAAGATACGAGCGTTATTATTAGTCAGATTTCTATTTCACATTTTTTTCTCTTTTTTTTTTTTCAGATAGTTTTCCTCCTCACATTTCTATCCTTTTGATTTTCTATTCGCATTTACATCCGAAACTCGATAAACTTTTCAAAAAAGAAAATATATGTTTTTTTTTTCGTAGATTTTTGTGTGCTAAAAGTATTTTTTTTTATCATCAAGGAGGAGAAAATTATTGCACAAGCTTTTGAACTAGTCTCCCATAATTTCTAGACCAGCTATATCGATCAAATAAAAAAAAACCAAAACGTAGTATCGGAAAAGAAGAATGCGAGAGAGAGAGAGAGAGAGAGAAGGAAATAATCATATCATTAAAATATTATTTTGAATTATGACAGAGAAAAAAAATTTGTTCAGAAAGTCATTTTAGAAAAAGAAATAATTGTAATATTTTGGGTTATTTAAATTACCAAACAGGTATAACTCTAATTCTTCTTTGTTGCTCTTGTTCTAATTATCGCGTGACAAACTGCTAACGAATGAACTTTAAGGAGGAAAAAAAAGAAAAAAAGAACAGAGAAAAATATTTAGCTATTTGGTAAATGTATGATCAACCAAGGAAACTGAGACTATGTTTTTCAAAACAGTTTAGCCTAGAGGGAGAAAAGGTAAGAAAGCAAAAATTCCAACACATTACTTTCGGTAACGTTTTCATATTGTAATCATAAGAACATCACCTTTCTCTTCTAAATCTAAATGGAAAAGAAAGTCGGAAGCTTAGCAATTCTACCTTTTTGCTAAATTTAACGATTTGATGTGCTAATAGTTTTCAGTAACCGAAAAAGACGAAAAAAAGAAGTTATGTTTGTGACTCTTCTTTTGTAATATAATAGTTATGAAAGTTTCAATAAAAAAATTTTTTATCTTATTAAGAGTAACTATTAGATTCTAAGATTAGTTTTAATTTATCTATAGTTTTTAATCATTTATTTTCAGATCAAACTCATTTGTATTAATTATCTACAAAGAATGACGCACCAAATATCGTTTTTCTATGTATGCTTTGCACTTGTTACACCCCTTGTATTTTCATTTTCAACATCAAATATCAACAACAACGAAATTGAACTACAACCATCATCGCATGCTCGACCATCATCATTGTTCCATGATGAAAATGAATCATTAATTTCATCTATTTATAATGCATTACAATATCCTATTTTGGATGATCAAGAAGAATATGCTAACATGGTTTCTTATCCGCATACAAGAAAATTACATCATACACAACCCGTTGTACATCTTCAAAAGAAAGCAGCCGATTTTGAGCGTATCATTAAACCATGTAATCAAATGCCATTAACAAATCGTGTTAGTGAATATCAGGATTGTGTTCGATCACGAATGATGTTGCTTGGTAAACGAAAACGCCGAAATTTGTCACGATAATCAATAGTGACATTCTTATACACATCGATTTAGTCAATGCTCTTCTTGTTTGCACAATTACATTTTTTTCGTGTAAGTGAAACTAATTAAAAGAAAGCCGTAATCTTGTCATCATCTTTTATTTGATTACATATTTTGTATTAGTACTTCTTTGATCAAAAGCAGGTTTTCATTTAATGGTCATTTTTTGAGGTTATTTAAAATAAAATTAAAAATATGCCTTGTCATATCTTCGGAATATAAGAGTATTTTTGATGTAATTCTTCATCTAATCCAATAAAATGAACTGACATATTCTATTTTCATCTTTCATCATGTATTTGAAACCGGAAATGTGAAAGGAACCATAACCATCACGCATGACATTGATTTTAACAGTTTCAGGGGCCAGGTGTGATTTTTATGACGAATATGGAACATAGTCAGTTACCGATTGACACGCTCGATAAAAAGAAAATCATCCTGTTTATCCATCTGTTGATCTTTCTTTGTTTTCTGTCTTATTTGAAGACGCACGAATCTATCAGTCATATCAAGACTTAATCATTCACCTCTTTTGTGTCACATAGTCTACACTATTATGTAAGCTAATGTATAAAAAGGACAGGAAATTTAATGAAAGTGTACTAAGAAAGTTTCATTTTCTTCTTATAACAACAACTGGACTGATAGTACTGGTCTAATCGTTGAAAGTTTCATTTAACAGTACTGGGAAAAAAATGGTACAATACGGAACTTAAAAAAAGTTTCGAGAATTGAAACCATTCTTTTTTTTTAGGTTTCGTACGAATCGATGAAACCTTATAAGATTTCATCGATTCATACGAAATCTAAAAAAGATTTAGAAATGGTTTCAATTCTCGAAATCCTTGTTTTTTTTTTTCAGTGTAGGACTTGTCCGATTCCCGAAGGAAATGGAAGTTTGAGATCTAAACTAACAATACTCTCGAAGTAAAAATGGCTCGATCAAATCTTTAGATGTGGGTCACCCCTCCTGACGTTTTCACACAATAAGACTCATAAGTCAGATGACAATTAGTCCCATAATAGGATTTTATAAGAAAATCCTACCCAATTTTACCCTTATTTTAGTCGTCATATAACAGCTTGACAGTTATGTTTTTCGTCACATACATTAAAGTTCTGGCTATTAACCCTTGTGGAATTCAATCATGTTCACGGGGTGTCGGATCAACCATATTACAGTATACATACTACATTAAGACGGATAAAACACTTTCTCTAGTTTGTCAGAAAACTAATGCGCGGCTAGGAACTTGTAAAGAAAACTCAATCAATCAGGCAAAAATGTTAACATTTTTTAAAATTCGGTCTTTTATTTGTCAGTTCCATGTGTTTGTTTGTCTTAAATCGTAGTTGAATTTGATACTAAAACAAGTTTTTTTAACTCAAAACTGCCTTGACTATTAGAAGACTATCAATTCGCTATTCAACCATCATCATTAATCTAGAGAATTTGACAAGCAAAAAAAAAGATCATTTGTTTCTTTCTTTCTCTGTCTCTCTTATTCTATCGATGACAAATAATTACAACATAGAGTTCAAATTTTTAAGTACAGTCATGCGTGTTCTACTGTCAGCAGGATATTCGATCTGAAATTAATTGGCATCATTTGAAAGTGATTTCTCTTCTTTCGTTCGATATTATTTTACATCTAAAAACCATTACTGAGGAAACAAAATGTAGATATTTAGCATCATTTTTTCCTTCTGTCTGAAAATTCAATATGATAATAAATCAAACTAGCAGACAAAAATAAAAAAAGCACTAACTATTCTAGTTCAAACCTGCTTCATCACATAATATTGTTTAATACAGAACAATTCGGACTTGGTGTGTTTCTCGCTCTAATTCATAGTATATATTCATAACTTCTTGCATTATCAATTTAATTGCTTTTGCGATTTGATCAGAATTATGCCCTACAGAAACAAGACGATGATCTACAAGATAAATCTAACTAAGAGTTTTGTAAGAACTTTATGATATTTTTCTAATTTATCGTCATTTTTCACACTGTTTCATCGAGCAATATATTTTTTTAAATAAATGCACCTATACATTGTACTGTTTTTTGAAACAAGGTTGATTAACCCAGCTATTTCTTATATTTTCTCGTTTCTGTTATAAATTTTGTCATTTAGAGTCGAAAAAAGGAAAAAATTTCCGAATAGTCTCTACCTTCCGCATGACAAACAAATCTTTTTTATTTCTCCTAATAAATAACATGTGATTAGAATATTGATATTATGTGTGGTGAAATAAAAGTAAGAATCCGCGTAGAAACTTGTTATTTAATACATCATCAAACGAAAAAATTTTTCTGACAGACCATTATTGCAGTCTGATAAAACATTCAAAAATCAGTGATCTATATGAGATATTCTTCTCTGCTAGTGTCTATGAAATCTCTTGAAAATTCAAAAAATAACAATCCAATAAATCTATAGTGCAGTGTGTCATTAAAATATTTTAAGCATTGAGATTGGTATCAATCAAAACTTCAACGAAAGACTCTCTGAACTTTTATGTTAACTCTAATTAAAAAAAAAATGATACTTCTCAGTATAAGCGTTCTACTTTCTATTGCAAAATAGTTATTTACTTTTTCCTTAAGAGGAGTGTCCTGCAGCGAAAAAAACTTTTTTATTTTACATCCGATTTTGATGAAAATTTCAGGAAACATATATGATATCAAATGATGCTCACAAAATAATTATTAATTCTCTACGTATTCCCAAAATTTGGAAAAATCAAAGGTTGAAGTTTTAGTTGATTTACTGCATTTTAGCTAGGTAGGCGTTTTTAGACGATGCAATAAATCAGCAGTCATAAGTTTACGAAAAATTGTCTTACTTATCTGCGCAATATCTTATTTTGAAGAGAACCTTTTTCTTCATATGATGATGCAATTTGTCAAAAAACTCGACTTAATTATACAAAATTGTAGGATTTTCTCTAAAACTGTATAGTTTCATAGATTTTGAAAAACCATCTGGAAAACATCTAAGAACTTTTCGGATGGTAATGTAAACTCTACATTCTAAAAATAGACATACGTAGCAAGTAAATTATGTCTTTATCTTAACGAGCGACTTTATAGTTGACTATACTGTGAAGAATCCTCCTTAATTAAGTAACTTAATTACAATGTATATTCAATCAAAAATATTCTGAGGTACAATTAAATATGTATTAAAGAGAAGTATTATAATAAGTATTCACTTACTACATGATAATGGAAGTAAATGTTTATAATCAACTTGCGGTCTTGTGCGCGTAACCTACATAACGGAAAATCTAATTACAATATACATAAGTAACAATTTTCTCTAAGTCAGCGTATATTTATCACTTTGTCACAGACGTTGATATAAAAAAATAAATATAAAGTAATAACAATAGTTTTCTAATTAGTCGTTAAACGTGGTGCTGCTGTTTTCTGTATTTTCCAAATTACTATCATTCATTGTTATTATTATTATTATTATTATTATTAAACCTATGAATAACAATTAAAAATTATTGTGGTGGAAAACCAAAGAAAATTAAATATTTTTTCTTTTAATTCCACAATAAACACAATTTCAAGATAAATTGCAGGTAACTGACCACCTTTTTCAGATTTTTAAGAATTAGGAATGATTACTAGATAATTGATAATTGTCAATTTAAATATAAAAGTCATTTTGATGTTCTTTGATGAGAAATTGTTTATTAACTTTCTGAATTAAATCTTTAAGTGATATTTGAATGAACCATTTTGATAGGAATATTTATTAGGTATAACAGGACATAACACTCAAAAATTACGGTTATTGCTTGGCTAGATTACAATATCAAGTCATTATTCAGAGCTTCCGAGTAAAAAACTAATATTACTAGTCTTTTTTATGATTTCTCTTGTACTATTGTCAAAGGAATATGACATCAGCACAATATTTTACATCATTACTATTATCATGTGAACAATGGGAATTATTGAGACGCTTAAAAAATTCTGGATTAACAACTGAAATAATAGTGGACGCATTAGAAGAAATTCAACAGATCGAATGTTTATTTCCATTAAAGACGTGTATAATCAATAAGACATTTATTGATATTCCAAACCGATCTAATTCACTACCATCATTAACAGATAATACTGGTTTATCAAAAATCAATCAGATAGATAATATCAATGAAAAATCCTCGAAGAATTACTACGCTACTCGTCATCGAAATGCCTCAAATACTCCACATTCAAGTATAACAACCATTGTACCATCAGTTCAAAGTTCACTCGAAGATATTCAACAAAATCAACAATGTCCACTAGAGAAAAAAAATAATTTATCATTATTTATGATTGATAGCATTCAGAAAGAACAAGTAACGATGTAATTGGACCGTTGTTCTTTTTCGTTAATAATTGTTTTTCTTTTGAAGAAATTATCAGATGATGTGAAACGTGTTTCTTTATCATCGAATGTTGATGAAAATTTCAATGTTTGGCCACCATCATTATATTTTGATAAAAACAACAGTGATTACTGTATTAGAAGCAATAATAAACAATTAATTTCCATGTATTGTGATGAAATCCAATCTTTGTCATATTTAAAAAATGACTTTACAGAAATTGACAAAGATGATTTGACTGAATTACAACTATTTATGGCGTATGTTTTGCCACTTTTTCTCTTCAAATGTCAAAAGACAGATTGATGCTCATTTTTTTAAGTAAAGGTTATATTAATATTCGTGAAGAAGTGAGTACATTTGTTCGAAATCATTGTTTACGACGAGCTCAAGTAGCCAAATTAGCTGGTAAGTATGATCATTTTTAACAATTTCAATTATTCATCAAGTATTTTCTAATTTGTTTAAGGTGTTAATCAAGCGTATATTTCGAAATTTATGCGTGGTGACTTTTACGATCTGTCTCAAAATGGTTTTTCAGCAATATGTCGATGGTATTTAAAATGTCGAAAATCAGTTGCTGATATTAGTAACTACTATATTTTACTATGATTTCTATTTACTTGGATGAAATGGCAACTATTCATTTTCAGCAGCAATGATCTCATCCGATGTTGATGATTTGAGTGCAACTAGCAACAAACAAATTAATTCAGTGACATTTGAATCGACAATGCAGGCAACATCACAAAACATGTTAGTACCAACATTATTCGAATGGCCAAAACGAACACGATTCACGTTCAAACAAGAGCATTTACAAGTAAAATAACACATAAATTACATACTACTATCTTTATAAAAACATAATGTCGATCACTGTTTTTGAAATAATTCTACAACGAAAATAAATTTGAATTCAAGTTTTTAGCATTTCGAAGCTCAGGATTTTCATCCACCTTCATGAGTTCGAAATTTTTGTTTACAGTACGATTTCAAAAAGAATCTTCAGAAGATTTGTTTAGGTTTTCACTCAAAAGCGATAGAAACATAGATCATCGAGTATACAAAGCATCTTGGGCATTGTATTGTTTAATCAAGATTCAAAAATCCAGTATGCAGCATATGTTTTGAAAAAATATATAGTTTTTGCATAGCTTCGAAAAACTATATATTTTTCCGAAACATATGCTGCATGCTGGATTTTTGAATCTTGATTAAACAATACAATGCCC